CCCTCATCCCCTCCCCCTCCGTTTTTTTAACACCAGAAATAGGTGCCACATCGCTGACGGTGACATGGCAACCACATGACCATGATGGATGACATTGTTCCTCTTGATGAGCGCCCACATCAATGACCTACAACCGCGAGTGTGAGCACTCATATCCCCTCCCACTGCATTTTTTAACATCAGAACCAGGTGCCATGTTGCCGACGACGATGTGGCAACCAAACAACAATGATGGATGTCATTGTTCCTCTTGACACCCACTTGCATCTCAGAGAGCCCACACCAATGTTAACGTACGAGGATCTCAGTCAGACACGGATGTGGTGATGACTCTATTGTCTTAGCTACCTGTTAACGTACGAGGATCTAAGTACAAGTAGCGTTAGCGTTAAGTATCTAAATGTAAGTAAGAAAAGACTCACCTCAGTCAGACACGGATGTGGTGATGACTGAGGTGGAGGGAAAATAAAGTCCTCGTACTTATAGGACGGTCGGGAATAACGGACGTAAGTGGGTGTAAGTGTAAGCGGTGGAATATAAGTGTAAGCGGTGGAAGTTTTACTGAATTGATCGAGGAGGTGCAAACAAGACGTACGCGTAAATAAATGAGGTCACGAGGGGTCTTCTTCAACACTCCCCTAGATGACGAGGGACCTCTACAAGTCCAGCTTGAGTGCCCGAATGAACTTTTGGTGCGTGACACGAGGAAGGGATTTAGTGAAGATGTCGGCGAGGTTTTCTTCCGACGGAATTTGGACTAGACCAATCTCCCCCTCTGCTACGTGTTCCCTAATATAGTGGTGTCGGATGTCGATGTGTTTTGTGCGTGCATGTCCCTTCGTATTAAGAGTGAGGGCAATCGAAGCGGCGTTGTCCCCATGGAGGATTGCTGGGAATTCGCGCTTTAGGCCCACTTCAGACATAAATGAATACATCCAAAGTGCCTGTTGGGTGGCGCGCGTGAGTGCCATGTATTCTGCCTCGGTGGTCGATAAAGCGATGGTTGCTTGGCGTTTTGAACTCCAGGATACAGGTCCGCCGGCTATGGTGAATAAATATCCTGAGGTAGATCGTCGCGTGTCGGTGTCCCCGGCGTAATCGGCATCGACGAAACCAATTGGGTTGAGACTACCTCCTCTGTGGTACGCGATTTTGTATTCGAGGGTGCCCTTAAGGTAAGTGAGTAGGTGCAACATTGCTTTCCAATGTGCTGGGCCAGGGTTTGCCTGAAAGCGTGATAGGACACTGAGAGCGAAAGAGATGTCGGGGCGGGTGGCGACCTGAGCCCACATGCAAGAACCGAGGGCTTCGCGATAGGGTTTGTCCTTCATGTATTGATGATCGTCCTCGGATTTTGGTGAGTCGGATTCAGAGAGGGCGATACCAGAAGGGAGTGGGGTGGATTTTGCATTGCATTCTAGCATGCCGAAACGCTCTAAGACGCGTCGGAGGTAAGCCTCTTGAGAGAGGGAAATCGCACCCGTATGTTCATCCTTGTCAATACGAATCCCCAGGATATATCCAAGCTCCCCCACATCCTTCATCTCAAAACACGCTTCAATCTCCTCCTTCGCCTTCTTTGCCCCTTCCTTCGTCGAGGATGCACCAAATATGTCGTCGGTATATGTGCTTGTGACAGCGAATTCATTGTTGATAACGCGGGAATGGACACATGGGTCGGCCAGTGACTTGTAATATCCCATTGACTCATACGCACTCGACATCTCAGATGGGTGGTAACCACTTTTATGGTAAAAACCAGACATCTGCCTGGAGGG